ATTTAAAGATAACATGTGTTTTATGTTTTGCTTTTTCGAATCTTAGGGGGGAAAAAAAAAAAAGAAATCCCTGCACCTCTCCCCACCCTAAAGAAAAAGGTTGGTTTAGATTTTCAGAGAATGTTCTTCGTAAGAATGTAACAGGTAACATGCTGAATACTATTTAATGACAGTAAACACATGGTTTGCAAATATCTGAAAAACAACAGAGAAAGCTAAAAAGGTGTGTGAATATTAGTAATGGGGCCAGTAAGTATTTATCCAACAAGGACTAACTGTATGTTTACAGCTGGTATAAATTCAGTTCTGTGTACTGATTCTGGACAGCCATGTGTTGGTATACTGAAAAAATAATTGCACTAATTAGTTTTCTCCCTAAATTTCAAGTTTTGCATTTTCTTCTTAATAATTTGTGTTACTCTTCAGAAGATAGAACTTAAATTAAAAGTGTCTTTAAGTCTGGGTATTAAAGTCTGTATTAAGCATGTCTATCAATTTGCTTTTAAAACAAAATATCAGAGAGAAACTGATAGGTTTTTGGGTTGATAACTACTTAAACTTTTATACATATGTTCTTACAGCTTTGAATTGAATCGATTTGTATTGATGGTTGACCATATCTTTTATGAAACCAAATGAAAAAAGCAGTCAGTGTGTGACAGAATGTACTGCACTGAATATAGTTTGCAAGCACAAAACTGTGTATGTCCAATCACATTTAAGATAATCTAGATTGAGCCCTGTGGCCCTCTATAAGACTGTACCTTTATTTACTGACCAAAACCGTCAAAATTGCTCTAGTTTATCCAGAATTAGTCATGTTTCTCTTCTTGAGTTTGTGTCAGACTGCAGACAGTGGAAAGGAAGAGTGGGTGTCTGCAGGTCAAGAATTAAGGACTAGAATCTTGTGTTGTCATGACAAGAAGACTTCCTGTGCCTATAGTGTGCAAAACCAAGCTCCAAAATAAAAAAGGAGGCTGAGATGCTAGCACTAGAATACAGTTGATACAATACCAGCTCCTTAAGCCAAACAAGGTCAATCTGGACTGCTATAGAGTCTAAAAGCAGACATTCTCAGTGTAGACAACAGTAAAGTTTATGCCTGAGAAAAGACCTCTTTGTTGATGCTGTCAATATAGATATTGCCATATTCAACTAGTAGAATTTTGTACTGAACTTAACTTTCTAGAATCTGAAAGGCTAGAATTATGAGGTATTTTCCACTTTCTGCCACTTCATACCATCTTCCATAGGATATAGAAAAACAGCTTTGCTAAAGCTGGTCTCCTTTGTGTGCATTGCAAAATAAATAGCACCGAGAGTTTCCACAACCAGGTAGCATTGTATGAAGTATAGCCAGTCTTCCTTTACATTGCTCATTCCTGACTTCAGGTAGCTAGGCCAAATTCAATATAGTATTCCCTCTCATGAAATATTATTTTCATTTCTTTTCTTCCCATACACCCAGAGAGTGCACTAAATAGTCCTGTATTTGATTAGAAAATTACCTGAGCAGATTTAAAAAAAAAAAACCAACCCTATTCTTGTTTATTAAATACTTACTATAATTTTTACTTAGGAGGCCTATAAGATTGAGTCTCCATTATTCCAAACACTGCGTGAATACAAAGCTTAAATAAGTTATAGTCTGACTCAAATGATTTGCAAATGAAATCATACAATTCTGAAGTAGGTCTTCAGCCTGCTAATTAGGCATACTAATTTTTATTTCTAATATCATGGAATGTCCCTAAAGTATAATCACATTTGAAACAAACCTTCCCTTTCCTGTGGACTGGTAAGATTGCTTACTTCTAAAAATTACTGCAAATATCTTTGTAACAGTTGTAACTTTTCAGTGAGTAACAGCAAAGAGGAAAAGCGGAGCACAGGGTTTATAAAGCTCATTTAAAGTCTTTTTTTTTTTTACAAGTATTTCAAACACCTGAAAGTGTTAGAGATTAAGTAAAGAGACTGTATCTGAAATGCTAGAATAAACACTAATGAAGATGGGTAAATGGGAAGAGTACCTGTTATCACCTATCAGGGACATCAATCTTCAAAATTGCATCAACTCACTTGAGTACTGAAGTTTCCTTTTTGTTTTATGCTCGTCTTCTTGATTGAGTTAAAGTATTCTGCATTTAAATTAGTAGGAGTGTAGTCAGTTAATCAAGGAAAATTTTTTTTCCCGTAATAGCAGTTATTATGCCACATATAAATACTGTGAGCAGTTCTGGGCCCCCCAGTACTTGAAAAAACTTGAGCAAGGGTCACCAAGCTGCTTGGAGTCTGACGCACAAAACTTGTGAATAGATGCTGGGGAAACTGGGCTTTTTTAGCATCAGGCAGGAGGAGTTTTCCTACTAGGCACTTTCTAATAAGAGTAGCTGATCAAAAAAGATGGAATCAGGCTCTTTCCAAAGCTACATAATACTTTATATTTTAAAACAAACATACAACCTCATGAGTGAACTTGAATTTATTCTATGAAAATATGATTTACAAGTACTTGTTGCAATGGGTTAAACAGCATGAGACTTGTACATGTAGTACATGCAAACAATCTGTAGCTTAGGAATCTTACTTCAGACAACCTAATATCAGACATTAAAATAAGATGGGACAATATTCATAAACAATAGGCCAGTTTTACTTTCTTTTCTCTTGCTTTTCCTTGTCCATTTTTAAACACTCCTAACCGCCCATAAAAAAAAAAACAAAAAACAAAAAACATTTTATGACCTATGTTGTGAACTGAGGTATACAAATTAGAGAATTCTAAAACTGTGGGAAGTGGCTTGGTCCTAGACTGAGTCTAGGACTCAGATTGCGGTGTTTCTTTTTCTTGAAGCTGTCTCCTGCATCAGGATGTTTCCTCGTTTCTTTACATATATGGACCATTTTTTTGCACTTCATAACAATATCAAAATAATTAAACAAGATATCAAAACAAAAACTTAAATTTATCAATTTATGGTTTAAATTGTTCAGTAAAATGGCAGCCACTAAAAATAACATAAATTTGCAGATTGATATTTATTTTAAATTTCTACAATCGTTTGCTATATCTAGCAAACATTATCTTCAGAAGAACCAAGATGTTTTCCAATTTCATCTTCAAACATCTTTCAGCAAAAGAATATAAAAATCTTCTTCATTTTCATTGAGTGATTGGTTTCTATGTTTTGTTTTATTAATGACATTATGACATTATTAATGTCGTTATGACATTATGTCAAATTATGTCATTAATGACAAAATGACAATAAAAGATATTTATCTTTTTAATGGGACAGTAAACTTATGATCTAGTTTTACTTTAGAGCAATAGAAGAACTCAGGAAACAATGTCTGATTAGAACCTAATCAACTTTTTTGAACTGCATGTCAGTATTACTTTGGAGAACCAAATGAAACATTTCTTTGTCAAGTACAGACTTTTAGGATGAGGGATGTTTTAAGATTACATTAAGAGAATAAAAGTGAAGCATTTAATGTTTTGAATTTTAATGTGTTTGAAATATTATTGTGAAGAAAATTGCATTTTCTGAAGTGACAGATGCATTATTCATATAGCTTTGATTATATGATAGATTAAAAAAAAAGTTCTTTTATAAAGGATGCCTATCCCAAGGTATTTAACAGAGTGGCTTTAATGATTTGAGAAATTAGGAAAATACATTAATACTGATTTAATAATTAAACTCTGTAATATTATTAATTATTGTGCTGGTTCTATTCTACTGTGTTGCAGTGATTTTCAGGTTTTGCTCAAAAATGTTATGCACATGCATTAACTCATACTTAGTATCAAAGATATTTTAAAATATAAAGGTATATTTAATCATAAAATAAGAGTCCATATAAGCAGTCTGTTTCCAAGACCAGGCATGATTATTAGATCTCTAATTATTAGAATTATTAGAATAAGATTATTAGAATAATCTTGCACATTGGAATTAAAATTTAAAGAAGTACACAGATATAATGAGGAAGAAAAAAACCTAATTTTTTTTCGTATCCAAAACGAATTGTAACAAAGAATAATTTACCTAGACATGTTTGCTTGTTTTAGTTATACTTACTATACTTGATAAAATATTTAGCTATGAACCTATCAATGCACAGCAATGTCAAAGTCATGAGTTAAAATAGATTGATTATATATAATCTGCTTGTACCCTATTACTAGACTCAGACATCATTCTACTATCTGTTCTACTTAATTTTGAGAAGTTTAGGATGATTTCACTGTCTTATTCCTTTCATTTAATTGTGGGTTTTTTTCGGGGGGGGGGGGCGGGTTGGCTTTTGTTT